AGGAATGAGCCAGTTACCTCCCACGCTGGGTTTTCAGCAATGGTGTCTGCAAAACAGGGCATGAAGAAGTGTGAGAAAGGAGGGACAAGCCACTGCAAAGCCTGTGCAAGCATCCCAGGAGCAGAGGGTGGGATGAGACCTTCAGGAGCCCAGGGGCTGGCAAGGAGCCCCAGCCTGGAGTGCAGAGGGCAGGAAGGACCTCATTTAGACCTGGGGGGCAAAGGAAACAGGGAGGGGTGATGGAGAAGAGCTATCAGGTTCATGTGGTGGCCTGGTCAGACCTGCTGGATCAGGGCATTCCTCAGGCTGCTAATGACAGGTTATTAATACCCAGTTTTAATGCCACCCCCTGCTGTGAACCTGCCCCACTTTGCCTTACCAGACAGTGCTAATGAGGGGCTCTGGTCCTGCCCAAATGGGACCTTCCTGGCAAAGGAGATTTATTAATAGAGCCCCTGCCATGACCTCCCTGGGCAGCCCCTTCCCTCTCAGCACGGCTGGTGGGCTGAGCAGCATCTCCTGCAGGAACCTCCCCTTGGGACATTCCCTGGCATTGAACACCAGAGCATCAGCAGGAGCATTTCCTCCACACGTGGCCTGAGAATGTGTCAAATCTGCAGCAAGACCATTCACACCCAAGCTCTTCCCTCTGCTACAGCCCGAGGGAGCATCCAGCAACGGGCCCATCCCTGATTTTATCCCCCTGAGATGAATTTCTCCTTGATTCTTGACAGCAATGAGTCCTGGCTGTAAAACAGGAAGGAAAAGCACAGGCAAGACCTGCATCTGTGCCTTGGTTTGTCTCAGAAGCACCAGCAACACCCAGTAACACTCAGCAACACCCAGCCCTTCAGTTTGCTCCTTGCAGGAAGCCCATGGATGGGTCTTGCTCAGGTGGACATTGGGAAGGGGAATCCCACAACCACTGACAAAGGCAGGAAGGCAGCCCAGCTCACATTTAGCCTGGAAAAGCAGCCTGGCATCATCCCATCGAGGCAGGAAAAGCAGAGGATCCCAAACTACAAGGGATCATCCCTTAGATAACTGCTCCACGTTCCTGCAGCCCTCCAGAAGGGTGTGCAGAGCCCTGTTCTGTCTGCCCCTGGGAGCAGGGATGACTTTCTCCTTGTTCCTCCAGCCCAGCTTGGGGAGATTTGCATCCTATTTTTGCCAGGAGAAACCCAGAGCAGTCGATTAAATCATCTTTGGAAGCTCCATTTCCCTCCAGCAAAGCCTCCGGGATGTGCCGAGTGACACCACCCCTGCCAACCCCAAACCTTGCCAGGACCAGGGCAGCACCATCACCCCCTCCTGAACCAGGAGGCACCAAGGAGCACAGGGGATGGTGGCACCTGGAGCACCTCCCTGCTGCCACCAGGGATGAAGCTGGAATTTCCAGCCAGGGCAGCTCCCTGCAGCTCAGCAGACTCAGCCCCACCTGGGAACTTTTAACCACTGCAACCCAGCAGGTTCCTCCTCCTCCCGTTCCCCCTCCCGCAATTAAACCCCCCAGCAAACCCGGAGCAGATTCCTGCTTTGTTTCCCTCCTGGAGGCGTGGGATGGAGGGGTTGCCGGCAGAGAAGAAACACTCCAACCTCCACAACACAGAGAACAGCTCCTTTACCTTCCCCAGAAGGTGGTTTTGGTTGTTTTGTTGGGGTTTTTTTTCCTTCCCCCTCTCCCCTTTTGTCTATTCTTTCATCCCCCTTTGGAAGGGAATTTCTCCTCTACAATTACCAGCCTGTACCCAGGGGAGGGAACAAAGCCAGGACATTTCCCTGAGTGCTTTTCAGCCAGGGAAGAAAGCAAGCAAAGAAGCTCTTCAGAGCTTTCCTAGAAGCTCATAACAGCATTTAGCATTTTGTTAAGTTGCTGCAGCTTTGAAAGAGAATTTCTCCCTTCAAAGCTGCAGGTGGGTTGGGGGTTGGGGGGGTTTCCCCCCCTCTCTAGTTAAAATAAAACACAATAAAAGGAGAAAAGCAAAAAAAAAAAAATCACTACTTGATTTGTCATAAAACCTCTTTGGATCAGAGAGTCCAACACGACTTTAATCCAGTATTTATGGCTTCAGAGACAGCCCAAGGCTGGGACTTGCTGCTACAAAACACCCACAGCCCTGGCAGGTGAAGTGAGTTGGGGGGGAGGGCAAAAAACACCCACCCAAACAAACCCCAGAAGTTGATCAGACTCTGATTAGTTTTTCTCTTTAGCAAGATCTGCAGGAAGAAGAAAGGGGCTCTTTCTATTTTGTTTGGGTTCTGAAGCAGCTCAGGCACTGGGAGCAGAGAAATGTTGCTGCAAACACCTCCTGAGCTGCTCTGGAAAAAAAAAAGACACTCTTGAAATAAATACCTTCTGACTGCTCGAGTTATTGTGAATGCCAGAAGATATTTACATCACTAAAAATACCCAGAATTACAGATAAATCTGGATCCTCAAAAACCAGAAACCTTGAATATTTTTCCTCTAGCTAAAAAATAAAAAAAATAAGTAAATTAAAGGAGGGGGGGGGAAGTGACAAACCAGACATTGCAGATGAAGATGAGTCAGAAAATATTGGGGAAGGAGAATAATTCCCTGTGTAGGGAGCTCCCCTCTCCAGAAAGTTTTTTTTAAAAAAGGTCATTATAATTTAAAGTATCTGCAAACCAGCATCTCTGCTGGGCCTGCAGGGCCAGGGGTGCTCGGGTACCATTACCTTCCACCCTGCCCTCATTTAGGACCAAATGTCAAAAGTCTCTGAGCTAAACAGGTTATTTATTCCCAATGCTAAACCCAGCCAAAAAGAAATCCAGCAGATGAAATTCTCTGCTCTTTAATTAGTGTCTGTCCCAAGCAGAACCGTGGTTGGGGGGGAGTTTTTGCTTGGGGCAAAACACAAACAACCCAGCCCTGGGAGGAATAAAGAGCTGGGGTTTCCTTAGCAGAAATGCTTTGGAATATTAAAAAGCAAAACAACTTTAAAAACAAGTGCTCTGTCAGCACAGGTTCTTAGTCTCATGCATCATGGTCAGTCCCTTCCTCTCTGGGCAGCCTGGCTTCCCAGAGCATCCCAAACCCTGCTGCAAAGTCAGGTTTCAAGCACTGCAAGGAGCTGCTCATTAGTTTCTTTCTGGACTAAAAGGCAATAAATGAACACAGCTGTTAATTTGAAGAGATCTGCATGGCCACAGCTCTTGGTGCCAGAGCTGGAATGAAGGCCAGATCCTGCAGCCAGCCCAGCCCAAGGACAAGGTGGGGGTTTTTACAGCCCAGTTACCCCATTTCCCTTCAGGCTTTGGCCTCGTGCCTCCAAAGTTCACAACTGCAAACTCCACAACGTCTTGGCCATAAGGAAGATCCTGCCAGCTCCAGCTCAGGGCCCATCCCAGCAGGGCCCATCCCAGCAGGGCCCAGAGCAGACTCAGGCTGTTTGCAGGAGCCAGCAGTGGCTGCAGCCCTCAGAGAACCTTCAGACCTGCCCTTCCTGCTCTTCCCTCCCAGGTCAGAAATCATTGCCAGGCATCACCCTGCAAAGCTCAGCTCTTGGCAAGAAACCCAGCTCCAGCCACCCCATCAGAAATCCTTCCATGCACAGACCCTCAGCTCTATCTTTACATCCCCTCTCCCACAAGAAACCCATGTTTGTGAAGTCAGTGCCTAGTGCCTCTGGGAGAAGATGCCCAGGTGCAGGTGCAGGGAAGGATTTGTTTGCAGAAAGCAGCAGGGGTGGTGGGGAGGGAGGGGACCCCTGTTCTGTGGGCCCCCTGCCCATCCCTGGGGCTGGCCTGGGCACTGGGAGCTGGTGTGGGGCAGCAGTGGGGCTGGTGAGTTGCTGGGCTTCCCAGCAGGACATGGGGATGTGCCCCAGGGATGGGGCTGCCAGCAGCACAGCAGGGACACAGTGCAGCCACACCCCGTGGGAAAGGGAACCTGTCCCCAAAACCCTCTTTCATGCCACCAAACACCATCTGCCTGATGCTGAGCAGCCCCAGCAAAGCCAGGAGGGTGGCAGAGAACCAAGAGCCACCAGGCTGGTTGTTTGCAGCCCCTGGGGTTGCTCCAGAGGTTCACACCACCCCCCTTGGGTGCCACTTGTCCCCTTGGGTCCCATCCCTTCCCACAAGCCAAGGCTTGGAGCTTTCCTGACAATATCCCACCCACAATCAAGAGCTTGTCCCTCCTGCCCTGGGGACATAAATAAGGGGACATAAATAAATACGAAGCCACCCTGGTGCTCACCTGCTGGGTGTAAATGGCTGGTCCAGGCTCGGGGGGACCACGGGCTTGAGGTCCTGTCTGGTCTGGGTTCCTTGCTGCTTCTTGGTGTGGCTGGAGTAGGAGAAATGAGGGGGCAGGGGGGGCCCACGGGCATTTGGGCTGTCACCTGACACCTGCCATGGGTGCTGGCAAGTGCCTGGTATGTCCAGCTGACAGCTGAGCCTTGGAGGGGGGAGAAACACCCCTGGGTGTTAAAGGAAAACAAAGCAAGAGGGTTATGGAAGGAGGGAGAAAACACTGGCTGTGCTGTCAGGCTTTCCAGAAACTGTGGACACACTCTGGCTCCCTTGTGCAATCACCTCTCCTGGAAAAGGACTCGTTTGGTTTTTCCCCAGTCTGTTCTCCACCTGCTTGCAAAA